GGTCCTGCCCGGGACGGTGGTGCCTTAACTGACACCCCCATGTGCTCGGGGTACAACGTGGACGTTGGCTCCAACCTGGTCCTCGGGCGCTCGTCGTCCCGCAAGGCGGTCTCGATTTCGGTCGCCCGGGCGTGGAATTCGTCTACGTTGGAGAACGCATTCCTCCGCAGCTGCATCCGGATGGCGGGTAGGAGATTTGCATACAGCAAATCTAACTGCCTCTGCTCTGGTAACGGCGGACGCAGCTGGGCCAACATGAAGAGGAGGTGGCAGGCGTATTCTCGTACCAGCTCTCCCTTCTCCTGGTACCGGGCTTGGGCCTCTTGCAGCAATCTTTGTTGCTGAAGCTCACTCGACCCAAACCAACGTCGAGCGCCTGCCACGAAGTCGGCGTAATTCCTCCATTTAAGCTTGTTAAGCTCGTACCAGGTCCTCGCAACGCCTTCGAGGAGCTCTGATACCGAGCACAAGATTTCGCCGTCTGTTAGCCCAGACCCCGCGCGTAGATCTTCTAGCCTAGACAAGAAGGTGTCTACGCACTCTGAAGCCGTACCAGAGTATCGCAGCTTCCACCCTCTCACAATCCTACCCGCGTCCCGAGTCGCGTAGTACCCCGACGCCGCATTGGCGTCGTACCAGGCGGATCCTTCTGGGATCATCTGCCCTTCACCACTGTCGGAGTCTCTTGGTCCTCTTGTCGGTGGCTGTTCCGTCCTTGAAGGCACCTGCCGTTGGGGAGCCTCTCGAGGTTCGCCAGGGATCGATCGCTGGGGCTCCGGGGTACTACCTGGTACCCTTGGGTCGTAGTGGCACGTATACGTGGACTGGAAGTCCACGGTCCTCCGGGGCCGCTCTGGTATGACTGTTCGTCGATTGGTGGGGTCCCTGTTTCTCAACTGCTGGACCTCCGCCTGCAGAGCGGTCACCTGATCGCTCCACCGTGCGTATACCTGGTCGTGTCTTTCTAACATCTCCAGTATGCGGTTGATCCCGACTCGGTTGCGCTCGATTTCTTCTTTCAATCGTTCAGTTACGCACCGTTCCTCTTCTTCTTCTTGAGGCTGTAGCTCCTCATTTTCGAAGCGTCGGGCTCTTCGCCTGTCCGGCGATCCGGTGGAGCCCTTGTGCTCACTACCGACCCCCTCCGTGGGCCCCTTGACCTCGCCGGTCCCCCCTTCCTCTGCGGGCTCTCGCTCCCCCATCTCGCTCTGGCTCTCCTCTTCCAAGTTCTCGTAGACGGCGAGAGTCCGCGTCAGGTTCGCCTCCACCGCCTCATCCCTATATAGCAGCATGAGTGGGTGGGCGACAAGATCCTCGGCGTCGGCTGCTTCCAACTCCCGTCGCTTGGTTTCCAGCCACCTCTCTCGGCTCCGTCGCCTGCGTTGTGTGGCCTCCCTATCCAACGCCGCTCCTTGGAAGTCTAGGTCGATATACTCGCCTAGCAATCAATATGCTAATCGGACTGCCTGCATCAGCCTGGGACCATCTGTGCGCAACTCCAGTTGCGTCAGGTATCTGTCCAGCTGTGTCGAAGGCAGTTCCGAAGCCCACCGGGTTATCGCGTCGGCGGTGTCCTCCATGACGCTTATGTTGGGGCGTAGGTGACGGTTGAGGTTAGTTTTCCTACTCGACCACTACGGCCTCCTATCGCCCAAGGCGCGAGCGGGGTGTTGCGATTTTTATCGCCAACTACCCAGTTACGCCTTTATTTACAAGGCAACAATACGCGTGGCTTGTGGGTGTGTGCAGGTATCGCGTAGTCTAAGGAAGTACGAACTTCCGCTTCGCAGCTACCTGCCTATAGGTGGAGGCTAACTGTTTGTTAGCTCCACCGGGTTAGTTAGTCTAACCCTACACACACCCTAATTGCGCGCTCTGCTGGTACTGTCGCTCGGTGACTAACCCCCACTTACTTACTCTAATGTGTAATAAAACACTTAAAAAGCAAAAAGTTAACCCAAATACAGTTAGTCACCTTTTATTTTCACGTTGGGGCGACTACGGACGTCTCTTCGACCCCTGGGGTTAGTGTGCTCTCGGCTCACAAAAGCAGTTATTATTGGGTCGGAGAGGCGTCTTTCCCCTACCGCAGAGCACGTACCGGACGAGCCACGCGTTATTTTACCCGCTCGCACCTTATTACGCACGCGCGCAAACGTCTCTCTCTCGCGCGCGTTGCTCTCTCTTTTTTTTTTTTTTTTTGTATAATTTTCCCCGTGTGTGAGTCCTAAATTAGTTGGGCGCCATGTAACAGGCTGCCGTTTAGTCAATATATCGTTGAATCCACCTAAAAGTGACTATACGACGCCTTGTTATCTGTGTGCTCTATGCACAGTAACCTACCTTGCCTCGGAGTGCGCCTGCGCAGAGTCTCTTCGATGTTCCGAGTTGGGTTCCCCCAACTCGCCACTTGGCGGCGCTGTCGCTCCAACTAGTAGCGCTCGTGCGGCCGCTTTCGGAACCTAGATTGAGGATTCCCGTCTAACGTCTCACACACTTCGTGCTGCGTTACCGGCGAATTCGAATATAACGTAAACAAAGCTAGGCGCGACCTCCGGACAAAGGATTAAACACAATAACGGATACTCGTTTAAATGAAACCACGGAACGATTTATTCAATTAGATAAATTACACGGGGAATTGGCCGAGAGGCTTACGCACGCACGCGTGATTGACAAAACACGCTGACCGAGAGAGAGAGAAAAAGACCGCGATTAACGCGAACTACCTGCTCGCACGCAATATATAAACTCTTCGCGCTCGCTGCGCGGATTCGCACGCCAAATTGTAACGACGGTCAAGAAAAGGGAAGGTGCACCTACCGCAAGGACGATGTGGATACGGTGGCCAACCGTATCCGACTCGCGAATTGTTAAACTGCCGCTTCGCTGCTTGCCGCACCACCGGAACTATTGCTGTTGCTGTTGTTGCTGTGGTTGCTTCTGTTGCTGCTATTGCTGCTGTTGCTGCTGTCGTTGCTAACGCAGTTATCGCGGCTGCTCCTGCTGCTGCTGCTAACGCACCCACGCACTCACGCTCGCAATGTCACCAGGGAAAACAAACGAGAAAACTCGAACGGATGGAGGTTAGGCGCACGGGTTGACTGAGTCTCACAGTCGTACTGCCGGTTGCTACCTCCCCTCCCGGTCATTGCCCCTTACGCGCTCTCTCTCTCGCGAACCGAGCGCGGCTACTTTCGTTTAGCCGCTCGTTAACCTCGCGCGAGTCCTACGATTTTCGGCAATCGTTGCAACATATATATGTTTGCTTTTTCTTATTGTTATGTAGTTTTAATTTTGAGTCAGCTCTCAACAACTTCTTACAATGTTTTTAATCTACCCTGAATATGATTGCATTCTGTTCTAAATAATGATGTAGATTTCAGAAAAAAACAGAGCAAGAAAATTAATTAGAGATGATTCATAACGTTATAATTACAGTTGTAGGAAAAAAACGAAGCTGATTTCAAATAATATGTCCATCGTAATCGTTCGTTATTTTTGAAATATTGTATGTTTATTTACTTGTATGTTTGACCGACAAAATATTTACCAACAATATATTTTCAATTACATATTGTACAAAAAAATTACCTTCGAGCACGATATTAATGCAATTGTCGTTGTAACTCAAAGTTTTATGATATACAAGAGAAAGTTTTGCTCTAGAATAATGTTGTGCCTGTATAAGCTTATATATTGAATAGATTGATGTCTACTCAATTCGACATTCTTCTCAGTTTGTATAATACTTACAGCGCTCTCCAAAACTGAAAAATGAGACACATTTAAACTTCATATAGATATATACAGATATTACTTCAACAATTACACTAACAAACTCTGACAAATTTTGCCATAATGACTGAAAGATAATATTGTCTTCAATAATTGATAAAAACAACTGACAACGAATACTAAACGTTTATTACATAAATAAATTTACGTCATCATACGAAGATTGATCGGTAATTAATTAATCGCGTTTTATGGCATTGACTAAAGAAATACGTCAGGGAACGACGTACTGTGTATGTATACAAGTTCCCTATTTGCTGAATGATTATATACATACAAACATAAGATGAGCCAACAGATATAAGTTCAAGAGCGGCGCACGTGTACAATGTGCATGTAAACAAATAATAAGGCAATCAAAGAAATATGTATTTTCACCGTAAGTGCGCTGTAAGTATTATACAAACTGAGAAGAATGTCGAATTGAGTAGACATCAATCTATTCAATATATAAGCTTATACAGGCACAACATTATTCTCGAGCAAAACTTTCTCTTGTATATCATAAAACTTTGAGTTACAACGACAATTGCATTAATATCGTGCTCGAAGGTAATTTTTTTGTACAATATGTAATTGAAAATATATTTTTGGTAAATATTTTGTCGGTCAAACATACAAGTAAATAAACATACAATATTTCAAAAATAACGAACGATTACGATGGACATATTATTTGAAATCAGCTTCGTTTTTTTCCTACAACTGCAATTATAACGTTATGAATCATCTCTAATTAATTTTCTTGCTCTGTTTTTTTTCTGAAATCTACATCATTATTTAGAACAGAATGCAATCATATTCAGGGTAGATTAAAAACATTGTAAGAAGTTGTTGAGAGCTGACTCAAAATTAAAACTACATAACAATAAGAAAAAGCAAATATATATATATATATATATATATATATATATATATATATACTAATGAAAAGCACATTTATTACATTGCTTATAGAAATGTCAATAAATATATTGCTAAATAGTTGTAATCACAGGGTAACCGAAAAAAAATATTTCATAAAAATATTATATTCTCATTTAGAAAATAAAAATATTCATTTTGTTTAAAATAGTGAAGATATAAAATGTTAATTACTTTATATATTATTCATGTATATGTTATGTTATATAAAAATTTCTTGCACTACAATTAATTCATGTTTGCTATTTGCCATATAATTCAAGTTAGTTTCTTTCACAATGCCACCTTTACAAAACAGAAAAAGAGAATTAGAGAATAATGATGATGATCAGAATGATTTGAAGAAAAAGATCAAGATCACCAGATATGACAGTTTTAATAAGATTTGTGAACTTATCAACAGGTATAAATAAATACATGAAACTATATATATATATGTATATATATATGTATGTGTATATATATGTATGTGTATATATATATATGTCGTTTGAACAATTTATTAGTTAAAATTACAGATTGTTTGTTCTCCAATTCTATAAACAAATTTATTCTTGCCAAACTGCAGTATACACGATTTTATTGTATACGATGAGTCACATGATTCATTTTACAATATTTTATTTGTTAGTCATGCATGATTACAACTTGGTATTGCTTTTATCATATGTAGTATAGGTTTTTGTGACGTCGGTTGACGAAACAATTCTCAGGCGCACTTTTTGGTCTATCCTTGCGGACAATAACCGGGACGTGCGTTACCACTATCGCGGGAAATTCCTTTTTTCGGCGACGGGGGATCGAAGCTTTGCTGTACCACACGCTAGGCAATATAGCAATACTTCGCGTTATTTTACCACACTCTTGGCAATAAAATAACGTAAAGGGAGCCTATCTAATATGCACTCGACCACACGCTTGGCAATCGAGTGTAACTATCTAAGAAAGAAAATCCCGTACGCGAAACTAGGAAGAGTAAGGAGAGAGAAGTTAAAGGAGAGTAGTTAGAATGTAAAAAAATTTTATTTAATTTTTCTTACTCACTTTTATAATGGTTTTCCCACACACACACTAAAAGATTGACTGGGTCTGGACGAACTTGAAGAATAGCTAACGAATTCAAATAAATTGTACGAACTGAATGAACTAAATCTGAGCTACTAACTTTGAACGAACTGAATTTCGAAAAAATTAATAATGTAATGCCTGAATTTTCGTGAAATAGTACATTACGATACAAGTGCGGGAAAGTAGATTCTGGTCTCGTGTGGCGTTTACACCCGAGCGAAGCGAGGGTGGAAGGGGACACGAGACGAGAAACTCTTTCCCGAACATGTGCCGTACCGTATTTTTTGATACGACGTGTGGAAAGTGCGATTTTCAACGCACGTTTTCTGCCGAGCGTGCGGGAAAGACGCACTTTGCGCACGGAGTGTCGAAAAGATCTCTTTTATACTTTTTTACAAGAGACTCCCACTCGAAAATCTTTGTCATTTTTGGGCAGGAAGAACTAAAATTTTCTCAACTTAATTGGTTGGAAAATTTGGAGAGTATCTCAGCGTAAGCAAGGTTCGAATCCTAATTGGCCGGGGGCGGAGTGTGTGGGTGTGGCTTCATTTTAGTGTTTTGGGCCCTCTTCGCATAGATGGCCCTCTATGTACTATTCTGGCCTTTATCTATTTAAACTAATTTTATTTAAAATTAATTGTGTGTGTGGTACTCTAATTTTACAAAAATGTTTCTTAATCTATAATAAAACTAAATGATAGAACAAAAGTTAAGAATTACATTTATCTAAGAACAATTAGGATATTAATAGTTTTAACTATTAATTGATTATTAAAAAGTTTTGAGAAATGTGAAAAAAAAAACATAATTAATAACTTTCATTCAAGTCATTCTTAATTTGTCTAACGCAAAGTTGAGCGCACCCAACAATTATATATACGAAACTCGTAAAGAAAATGAACCAATAAATACGGGAAGATAAATTTCGCATTTTTCGAGAGACCTGCAAGCAAATCTGTTTCCTTTAATTTAAAAGAAATTAGCAAAAATGAAAATAAATTATTTAAAGTAAAATAATAGTACTGTTGGCAGGATGCACATGTGCGCTACAGATCTCTTCTTTCTAAACATGCGCGCAATCTGACTACTCCGGATGACGCGATCGTAAAATCGCCCTGATAATCTCCAGTACCCGAAAGTCGCCAGATGCACGAGCCGAAAACTGCCGTTCACAGGAAAAATCGTTTTTATTCATCCGCACGCAGTTTTTCATCTTAATTTACGAGCTAAATGTGTGGTCGGTATTTTTTTTCTTTATTCTCTCTTTTTTTTTTTTTTTTGAACCGCCGTTACATTTTATACATTTTTTAATAATGTAATTTTTTGATGAATTAGCTTTGGTATTTCACATAAAAATATTTCAAATTCTTACGTAAATGGTAAAAGGAGAATTATATCACAAAATTATTCGTATAAAGATATAACATTCCATCACGTATATTATATTGTTCAAGCATATTTATATGTATATATGCATATATGAATATATATATATATATATATGTATATATGATCAAGAAACTGTAAATATTCGCAACTGAAAGTAGTATTTGATATTCATTTATGAAAGGTATTTTGTGGTCAATATTTATAGATGTTCTCTAATTGCACGCGTGACCTTCAAAAGTGAATTGGGAAATCCAAATCTGGACCTTATTTTTTTGCAGATTTTATTGACTCAGCATGTAAATATCGTGCTTCAGCTTTTGGTGATACAGCAACTGCTCTCTTTGGAGAGTTGAAGGTACATTATCATATGTTATTTTATAACGCATTTTTATTTTAAATAATATATTATCCAATCAATGAAACATATGAAATATAAAAATATGATGTCAGGTCAATGAAATATATGAAATCCGGAATTTCAATGTCACTTTGTCGAATCCAAAATACAATGTACACAAAAACATGTATGAAATGGCCCTGAAAACTGATACAACTATAATTAAATTTGATGGCCAATGTGACATTCCTGAAGATACCATATCATACAAGACTTTCGAAGAATTCTACTCAGAAAACGTCAATGACTTGATTGGTAAATAAGCAATGATTATGAATATCTATTTCTGTTCAATGATATATATATATATATATATATATATATATATATATATATATATATATATATATATATTAATCTCAATAATTTGCAGATGTGATTGGAATAATATCTAAAGTAGATGATATTACTAATGTAACATTTCAGAAAAATGATGTGTCAAAAAGAGATGTGACAATTAAAGACATAGATGACAAAGTTGTCAGTATTAATTTATTCATAATCCTAGTTATTTCATATGGAGTAATAGTAATTACTTTGCAGATTACTCTTGTGTTCTGGCGGAAGCGCGCCGATGATTTTGCGGGCAAAATAAAAGATGTGATCAGCGTTAAAGGAGCAAAAATATATATATACAGAGGAGATCAATTTTTATCGATTCAAGGAAATTCTGTTGTTACCTTCAATGACGAAACCAACAGATTTTCTAAAAGGTACAAATTCAATATCATATTATTTATTTTTAATTTGCTATTGTATGAATAACATTTCTATTTCTTTCAGTCTAATGGACTTTGTCCAAGCTGGATAACATTCCCCAGCCAGCAAGGTTTGTTTCCAAAATGTTGCTACAACATTGATTTCCAAACACGGCAACTTAATCGGCAACCAAAAAAAAGGTTTCGGAAATGTTGGAGCAATATTGAAATGTCCGCTTTTATTTGAACCAAAATGTTGCCAAAATGTTATCTCAACAAGTTGCCTCGATGTTTCCACAATGTTGCCACAACAAATATTTGAGAAAATTTGACGCGATCGATGGCTTTGTTGTAGTAATGTTACTGCAATGTTGCAAAAGCGCGGTCACGCAACATTGTCATAACGACGATACAACACGTTGACAACAATCTCCCTGTTCCAGAAGATGTTAGTTCCAACTTGTTAGCAACCTTCTTGAAACATTGTGGCAACATATCGATCTACAGGAATCAACTGCGAAACATTGTAGCAACATTTCCTCAATGTTCCAGCAACGGCTCCAGGACATCACCAAAACATTAATGAAAAAAATATAAAAAAAATCATTTTTCGTTTATGCATATGTAATGAGTATTATTTTGAATTTTTTTTTCAAAATCTTGTTTTATTTTTCGATGAACAAAATGTTACATTATTTAGTTTACAAACAACTTATAATCTTAATAATACGTACAAAGCAGAACAATTTGATAATATCGTCTTATTCTTAATATCAACATTTTCATTAATCTCGCAAGGCAACAATCTTAGGCTTTTTTTTTTTTGGTTACGCTTTTTCATTATATTAAGCTCTACACAAAATTAAAATTGCGCAAAGTGGCTTTATGCACTTGGATTTCTTACGCAAAAAATCACATTCAGTCTGATATACGTTCGTCGATTTTTTTTTGTCAACGCAGCGGTGTGAAACAAATTTTTTTTTTCATATTCATCGAGATGAGATACACCTTTTTTAGTATTTTATATTTTTTTCGGATAGAGTGGTACTTTTTTTACAAAAAAAAAACGTTTCAAAATCAAAATATCTACGAAATAATATTGACCATTATAGGAAAAAAACACATAGTTTCTCTCGAACGTGTGTTTTTTTTTTCAAGTAAAAAGTACAATAATTTTTTTGTCAAGCACGAATGTAGAGCTAATTTGAAGGAATGTGTCATCTATAAAGTGAAACTATTTTTATAATCATCTTATATGTAAAAAGAATTCAATTTTAATAGGACTTTTTTTTCATGATTATTGGTCGAACAGTTTGAAAAAAAATCCGCGGCCGCAAATAAACTACTAAAGATTTTTTTGTTCAGCTTGTAATGAAAAAACACGGCAATTAAAAGCTAAATTTTGTTGAAAACACATTCATTATTTTATATTATTGAAACCCACCATCGTAAACATTGAAAACAAAGTTTTTTTTCAAACTCGTTCAACGGAAGAATAAAACATTTTAATCGCCTCCTGTACGAAAATATTCCAACACAGTCAGATACGGTCAAAACAAATTTGTTTTTTTTTCTTATCACGCAGTAGTTCAATTATAATATGTATTAGGAATCCGATATTTCGATATATTTATACAGCCGTCATTGACAATCTTTGAGATCTTAAATTTAATTATAATACAAGTACAGCGATGTATAACTGATTTTTTTTCATATTCATCGAGATGAGATAAACCTTGTTTTAAACTTTATATTTTTTTCGGACATCGTAATGAAGTGTTTTTTTTTTCAAATAAATTTTGCAAATCAAAATATCTGCGAGATAATATTGACCGTTATAGGAAAAAAAAATAGCTTCTGCCGAACATGTATTTTTTTAAAATTAAAACTTTTTGAAAATCTCGCGCATGAAAGCATTCCAACAAAGTCAAATACGCGCGAAATAAATTGGTTTTTTTCTTATCGTACAGTAGTGTAAGAAAAAAAAGAGGCTTTGGCAATAGCATTCTGCCTGGAATATCTTTATATTTTTTTTTGTTAACGCAGCGATTTTTCTTTTCATATTCATCGAGATGAGATAAACCTTTTTTTATACTTTATATTTTTTTTCGTTTGCAAATCAAAAGATTTACAAGGTAATAATGACCGTTGTAGGAAAAAAGTATATATAGTTTATCTCGACGATTTTTTCTTTAGTGCGAATTTAGCGCAAATTTGAAAGAATGTATCATCTACAGAGTGAAACTATTTTTATAATTATCTTATAAGTATATAAGAAAAATTCCATCTCAATCGGACTTTTTTTGAAGATTATTTGAAAAAGAGTTTCAAAAAAAGCACAGAAAAATGAAAAAATAAATTATTTTGAACATTTCAAGCATGAAAGCAGAACAGCCACATGTAATTTTCGTTGCACAAATGCAATATGAAGTAAGATGGCATTTACTACGCTAAAACGTCTCGATTTTTCTGTTGTTACGTTTCAGTCTTCATTTTCTTCTTCATGAATCATATCTTCAAGGGTCAGCTTTTTTTTTCTAAAATGAAAAAAATAATCGCGATAAAAATATCTTCATATTGCGCTTATTCGACAATAATTAAAAATGTACATACTTTGCATTTCTTTTCCTTTTTTTCTCCAAATTAAATGGTGCTTGTCTCAACCATGCGCCACAGCTTGTACCTGCTGCATCGAATGTATAGCCCTGATGTTTGTGTGCTTCCACAGCAATATCTTCAAGAGCATAAGGTAAAAGATAAATGCTGTAGATGTTTGATGCACAATATTCTAATAAATACATACGTCTGATAATTTTCCAGATTTTCTGTGCAGAAAAATTAATTTTCGTGTTGCTCATGCCGAGAAATGTAAAGTAAGAGCCAACTTTGTCACTCACAGTTCGACTGAGCATGGTGTGAACACGCCTATGCCCGGTAGGTCCGCCAAGATCGCGCAAAAATTCGGTCTAGAAATATAAGATAAAAATGTATTCACTTAAAAATTGAAGTATACTTCAATATTACTTTAAGTGAAAATACGTTGAAAGACTTACAACTGCGGCAGCGTATGCTTCATTCTCTAATTTGGTTTCATTTTCTTTGAAGTGTCTCAAAGATGTGGCTGGAAAATCTTCTCTAACTTTATCTAGTTTGTAGGCTGAAGACGCCGGAGAAGATGTATATGCAAGTGCAGAATTATTTCCTGCAATTGCTTGAAATTTTAAATCCTCCGAAATACGATGCTGATTACGACAAACCTCTTGGACACCAACTGCAAGCACATAATTTTTCGTTATTGTTTATAAATTATAAATCAAGACACCAAGACACTCTGACGAGTGAAAAGTACACCTCGTCTATAGTAATCAATATATATAAAATTGGAACATAAAACTTACGCAAAGTACACTTAAACATCTCGTCTGAATTCATAGCATTGAGATCGTTTTCGTCTATGTTTAAAAAATCTTTCGGCGAAAAGTCCTCCTTTACTGTTGAGTTGGCCATGTGAATATCACTTGAAATCCTTAGTGAGTTCTTATCTTTTTCAAGATCTTTTTCTTTCTTGTCAATAAACTCGCATGCCAAGGCATATGTTTCTGAAAAATATTGAAAATGTTTATAAATATTGGTAATTATTTGCAATCAACATTTCTGTGGCTTCCCGGCATAACCAGACATCTGGTTTTTCGCGATTTCAAGTTGTCCCTTTTTCAAATACGAATAAAATATTAATGATTGGCGAATTGCATTCAGAAAGTTTTTCTAAGGGTTCCTATTATTAGTAATTAAGACTAAAAATCAATTCCATAAACGAAATGTTAATTATAGATGTTCTATTCGTACTTAAAAATGAGATAACTTGAAATCGCGAAAAACCAGATGTCCGGTTATGCCAGGAAACCACAGATTTTTATTTCTCAATTGTAATTTTCAAAAGTAGAAAATAAGTTGAAAAAAAGTTTATTGTAGCTAATTCAAATTGAGGAAATGAAATCAATTGATTTGTTCAAGTGGATTACCTGCAGAATCGATGAATTGCTTGATACTTATGGTTCTCCAGTCGTCACAAGGTTTTACACGTTGAACAATGTAATTGCGTACAAGATTTTTTGATTCATCGGGAGGCCAACGGGTAGTCGTTTTATCTTTGGATACCCAGATGGATGGAACCACCGTTAGATCGCGCCACTTCAACAATTGAACAATGTTCCAAGGTTTGCCTTAAAAAAAAGACGTTTTATAAATAAATGTTATAAAAGCAAAGAATAAATGATTCTTTTCATAACATTATTAAAAACGGGAGCAATTAGAGAAGATAGTAGTTGTGAGAAATGAACGTGTACATACCTTCAGTGGTACTTTCACTTTTGGATAAATCCTCGTTACTTGTAGATTTTTGTTGACCCGATGGTGCTTGAGATGTATGAAAAGCTTCTTCATTTTCAAGTGTTTCAAGTGGTCCTTTGGGTGAATCTTGAGTCTCAGCCAGAACATTGGTAATTTCATCCATATTTTCCTCTTCAAGCGCAATGGTACCATCACCAACAGCGTTGTCCTGTATGTTATCAAATTCATCTTTCTTCTTGTGCAAGAGATCATCTAAACATTGGAATACATGTATTGCAATATGAAAAATTATTAAGAACTTTGTTGTTAAAAACATGCAATACAATTTACACAAAAGATTTTTTAGAATTTAGTGAAATATTCTAAAGTTGAGTTGAATATTAGAAAATGGTTATATACAATTTTCAACATTATTTTTATAATTGTACGTCATCAAAATTATTTATTTCTTAATAGAGAACAATTTCCAACTTATACCTTCATTCATCGAGTCGCCATCCTCCATCGATTCATTGTTAGTTGCAAAGCTTGCCTCTACAGAATTAGAATTTGTTGAAGAATTAAGTGTATCTAAACATCTAAATAAATATCATGATTAAAGATTATATTCTAGAAGGCAAACAATAAAAAAAAATTTTATTTCAAGGCATATATTCTAATGTGAACATTAAAAAATTACTCGATTACTAAATCGTTGATGTATTTTATCAATCTTCAATTTTTATTTAGCATATATTATTTTGGAGAATTATGATAATTAATTTAAAAAAAAATAGTTTTAACGATGAGACTTATGAAAAAAGCGATTATAGAAATAACATTATTTTGGAATATTATCAAGTGTTGATAAATAAATATTATGTAAACTCACGAGGTTTAAAGATTTGGTCTTGCGGCACGCGGGGCGGCGTCTCCTCAGGCACGTTTGATCCATCATTTTCGCCGGTACGGTCACTTGATTCGTCTGATTCAGAATCGGACGAATCAACTTCAGCATCGTATACGTAATCGTCGTGCTTCTTTCGTTTTCGATTCCTCTTGGACTTCAATGTCAACCTTTCTTGCGCTTCCTTCATTAGACGATCGTACTTTGCGTCAATATCAGTGCAGTTTTCATCCGAAGAAGCTATTTTTTCTTTGGCTTTAGCTTCTAGCAATGTGTCTATGAAAGAAATAAATATTGAATTAAGTACATTCACGAGAAGGTGAGAAATAAAAATGCAGTTACAATATTCTCATTTCATGGTCTCTCGCGTTGAAAACTCCACTCTTTGATGGCGATATGTTATCGGTAGTTAATGAGTGTTAAACTTTGTTTGCAACGCGTTTACGAAGTTTTATCAAAATAATCCTTATGGGGCGACTATATACCTATGCTATTGAGAAGTTAAATTGAACTTTATTGGTATACAATGTTAATCATTTGCGAGAATAAAAAAATTTGATTTCAATGACATCGAAGAAAAGCTTATATCTTTGATTTTAAATTCTCGAGTTTTGAAAATTACGTTACACGGACTTACAATTCATTGCACTCGAGGGAGTGTGTGTGTAAGCCAAACGGCATGTAAATTTAATTTGAGTTACTCGACACGAAGGAGAAAGAGATAGAGAAAGAGAGAAGCACGAGAGTATTTGTTTTCCTCTGAGAGCAATAAACATACAAAAACACGTAAATGAAGTGAGAATTATCCGAACAAAATCGGGTGAAAAACGAGATAATATACATTTTGTACACACCTTGTTTATTTCATTAAAATTGTTTAAATCGAATCGCATTTATCAAATGATAAGCATTTTATGCTCATTGAACGGTAAAAACATATAAGTGCATTGATAATTTTTTTATTTTATTCGGTATTTTTTTTCAATTGAACTAAATACAATATTCGAATAAAATTATTAAAAAAATTCACATCGTAAACGAAAGTAACTTACAGTAAAAAAAATTTTATTATAAAATATTCAAAAACCGGATATTGTTGACGTTCCGCGTACATAAAAAAATTGCAAAATTTTTAAAAATCCTTTTAGGTTTTTCGCACGTCCAGAGACGTGTGGCTATATAGAAAAATACGAGCATCTCTTTTCTTTTTTTTTTGCTTTTTTTTCTGCGTAAATAGTCGCAGACACGCGACACTTATATATACGTGGAAAAAATCGTAAAGCTTTGGCCACGCGAGGCGACTCCACGTGTTGCAAGCAAGCGTTATATGCGTCCTGTTAGACGAGAGAGAAATAAAAAAATCGACTTTTGAAATGAGGGTGAAGGAAGTTGATTTTCCCTTTTTTTTCTTCTTTTCTTATTTAAACATTTTTGTATCCTAGCTTACAAATGATTTATAATACATCGTCCAATGAATTCGACTCTTTTCAAATTATTTATATAAAAAGTTTTTATGTCGACTATCCATTTTTCTTAAAAAAAATAAAAATAAAGTATATTTGTTAAACAATGAAAACTTCTAAATCACTATCGCGTACTCCCAAAAGACTTAAGATTGCAGCTAGTCGTATGTGCAACGATCGATTTCCCACTCAACTCACGAAAAAGCATCGCGCATCGAATACTGAATTTCACTCGACAGCGTAAAGCATAGATAACAAACTCCAAACAGCCGAAAAAAAAAAATAATAAACTCACCGGCAGTTCCAAGAATTTCCACACAGTACGTAGGCCATGAATTCTTGCTTGCTGACCTTTTCTCTATCATCGCCTGTATTTCATACTTGCTTTTCTTGTTTGGCCACGAGCATTTAACAATTTGTTCACTCTCTTCTGCATCTTCATCTTGTTCTTTTAACCAATTTTCTGGTACTGTGGTGATTTCCGATGATTTGACAAATTTCACTACTTTCAGTTTGATTTTTTTCTTCATACCACTTTCCCTTTCACTTTCCATCTTTCACACGTTACCACTACCGTTTTATTTATAGAAATAAGTTCTTTAACAATTAAGAGCGAATTAAGCGAAGAAACTTTTACTTGGCTGACTAGGTATATACGACAAAACGCGATTGAAGACCGGTAGGCGCAAGCACGCTGGCACGCACGCTGCTACATCGCTGAGAGATATATGAGAGACAAACACAACCGGCAGGCGGCAAAAATGGCGGTGAGTGATCCCCTCTTTCTTCCCGTTGCTCCGGTACATACATCGACTATCTGAGTCTGAGCTCCGTATACACACCAGCACCAGTATAGCGGCTGCCGTTGTGTTGCGATGTCTCACTGCCTTGCTCTGATCGGCGTTGACTAGCTCGCTTCTCGCTTAGCTTAGATTTTGTGTAGCACGTAAACTTGGCAACAACGCAAGTTACGTTTAGATTCGCCTATGCATGGATTTGCCTAACTGGTGCGGTTGCCAAATCTCGTACCACGCACGCACAAGAGTATTACTCGGAATTGTTGGCATGTGAAATCCACCACAAAAAACTTTTTTCATTTTGGCCTTTGTGTATGTACGTACCTCCGGAGTGATTTTTGGAAGTATCGGAGCAGTACATATCATACGACTTCGTTAAATTCTATGGTTCTCGGACCTGTGTCATCTGTGCAAGCCTTTTTGCAAAATAAAAATCTTAGGGTAATAGTATAAAATTACAACACTTTCTTATTTGATTCAATAGCATTCATAACCTACAAATGTGCGTAATTTTATAATTGGTGTTTGCACTGACATTCTATTTTGAATTACATGCTGGAACGAAGCAAGGTGTTTTGAATTGACTCAGTATTGAGTATTAGTATCAATGAGATTTATATGTGATACCTAAAAAGATATTCAGATAATAACATTAGATATTTTTCAACTACAAATTCAGTGACAATTTCAATGAATTTATTTCTTTATTGCTTTTTCAACCATAATTTTAAGCTATAACGATAGTTATATCAGTTATTTATATGAAATGCTTATACTATGATCCATCATTAGTTATTTTATTCAATTTTTTTTATAGTTGACAAGACATATTGATTAATATGTGAGGTTTCAACTACTTGTGGAAGAAATGTTGATATAATATGCTAGGAGTCCTGATACAATAACAGAGTGTCACATTTTGGACTTTGAACCAAGGGAGTCAAGAAGTTGAAGATCCAGCTGAAAGACCATGGTACTTATAAATTTATAAGTAAGAAATAACTTGATCTCACGATTGTTTCAAAGGCAATCAGTAAGTTTGATACTTGCACGATGAATTTTTTAATTATATTAGATTATGTTGACCTGCATACGCCATTATAACATTAGTCATTTATCTTTACTAATACTATGTTTTGGGTTTCACATTACATATGGATATATAACATAAAACATACAAACTTATATTGATCCATAGTTCAATCAATAATATTATATTTTCAGTTATGAATTGACTCTATTAAGCAACTAACGACCTTTGCCTTGGCTTTGGGCATGAGAAGAACTCAATACGAGCTCATTTCTTTCTCGACAGAGACAGTCTAGCACAATGATCATGAAGTTCTTCTATGTGGTGGACTGCTGTATAGTTAGGATAATTTTCATCGCTTGGTGATAGACCAGAATATATGCATTATTTCTAAGTAAGTAATCATACCAAAAATTCATTGAAAAATTTTCAATGATAGCTCAATCTCATTTTCAAGTATCTTATTAATTTGTTTTTTTTTGCATACTCCACAGGGACATCTTCAATTGAAACTGCTATCAATTACGCAATTAATTTACACACAAGATGAACAAGGTATTTATTAATTTTTTTCTGAGAGATAGGCAATTAATATGATGGGTTTTTAGTTATAATTTCTACATTATTTTCTCACATTGAAGGATGGAAATTGAAGTCCTTCATGTAGGATTATCAAATTTGTACACTGATTCTATTTTATACTGCAAAGTCAATTGTACCAATATATTTCTGTTCAACTTTATCATATTAATTTGACTGTCTTTTTTTATTGAAAATGTTCCATGCGTATACTACTTTGACCATAGTAGTTGTTTGAGTGCTCATTTTCATCGATGAAATTAAGCTTATAAAGCCACCTAAAATTTGTCACCGAAACCAACCTTCAATTAAAATAAGCCATTAAATGTTCAAATGAGGTTGACTATTTATCAAACTTTCAGATTAAAATTATATTTGATGGTTTATTTTAGTGGAAGATAGGTGTCGATGACAATTTTTATTTGAATTTAGTAAGGTTGGTTTGATCGAACAAAATGAGCCTTTAATAAAATATTTTGGTCAAAGTAGTATGCGGATGGAACTTTTATAACAAACTGAAAAAAAACAGTTTGATCTGTTTATTAGGTGAACATAAACTAAGAAAAAATTATAGCAAAAACACAAAATTATCGTTTTTTTATGTACAATATGTAGACAAAGTTTCAAAATCTTTGGTCTAAAAAGAAAAAAATTAAATTTACTCTGGATATCCACCTTATAAGTTTCATATTTATATCAGTCATTGAATTCTGAACATATTATATTAAAATTGAGGAGTATTCAAAAATCACCATCGCGATTTGTTTGCCAAAGAACTTTTTTTGCTGCTACATATAGAGAACGTCGAAAGTGTTATTACAGAAAAAAGTGGTGGCGTTTCTTTCTATTAAATATCCATAAGGATATTTAATAGTGTGTGTGTGTGTGTATGTATGTAAATGACTTTCGCATCATCCTGGCGAACCTATTAGAGTAATTGCTTCATTTGTTTTTCTAATCTATTGGATTGTGTGGTGGGTCGGTGGGAAAAAAGATTTATCGTGTTATAGTGAGTAGAAAAAATTTTATAGTCATTTTTCGACAATGAAGTATCGCAAAAAATTTTCGGGTTTTAGCGACTCAAATTTGGTTGTACCTTGTAGCGGTTATTTTTGCTTTTATTCTTCCAATTTTTTTTTTATTATTTGAATTTTCATTTAAGTAATCGGGAGACACAAGAATCATCCAGTTTGACTGATTAGAAAATTTTTTAGAGTCACTCAACTGGAACGTCGTTTTTTTCTGAATTTCTTGTTTTTCGTTCAATTTTGTACCAGTCACCGTTGCGAATCTATGCTTGCTAGGGATTTGAAACATTTTCCATTCTCTTCTTTGAATGCTGAAAGTAGCCCGGAAAACAGCCAAATTTAAAATAACTGCATTTGTCAACATTGAAGTTATTTGAAAAATGGGTAGCAACGATTATAAAAGAGTACCGTTTTTGACGCTTTACCAGGAAGCACTCCGCCAATGCAATTGGCAGCGTTTTTTACTCGTAATTTTGAATCCTACAAAGCCTGTCAATGTTTGACACTCTATAAACCCTTAAAAATAGTAAAATTTCGAGGTGTTTGCACATTTGAGTGAGATTTACGTGTTCAAAGAGCTCTGCGAAGGTCAAATTGTGATGAAAAATAAAACTGAATATGTTTTTCGATGTATTTTGAGCCGTAGAATTCAAATCTGAAATCAGATTTACGCTATCTTTTTTTAGTTTTTCTGTAAATTTGAAAAAACGACGAAAATTCATAAAAAGTTGATTTTACTTGAATTTATTCAATAAGAAATTTTGTATTTTACGGAGTTTCCGACTTTGATAGGCTCTGTAGGGCTCAAAATTAGGAATAAAAAATAAATGAGGTATGGTTTTTGATGTATTTTGAGTCATAGAATTCGAATCTGAAGTCAGATTTTCGCTATCGTTTTTTTGTTTTTCATATAATTTAAAAAAACCATGAAAAGTTAAGTTTTTCTTTGGTCTTTTTTTTTAACTTTTATTAAGGAAAAAAGGTTGTCACACGGGCGAGCGGTTGTGGGCACATGGATTTTCTGGTTCCATATTTGATGTAGAATAAGAAAATCATATTTGTAAGGCGTGCACTCGATTTGACTTTTTTCAAAAACTGTCCCGAATTATGAGGCATTTTTTGTGGAATTGCTCATAAGTGCGCTAAAAAAATCTGAAATTGCCTAAAGATTTCTTTTTTTTTATGTACTAACATAGAAAAAATCGCCGGCGAAATTGGTGAACTCACCTGCGCACCGATTATTAAAAAATTGGTGGAATTGCTCACTATATAAATTTTATATTATGTTTACGAGAACACATCTCGTGAAGCGAACCACACAGAATATTGTGATTTGGCCAAAGAATAGCTTATTAGTCTAAAAACAACATGTTGAAGTTTCGTGCATATCGAGAATGGCCTTTTAGAAAATTATGTTTTTTTTTTTCAATTTTTCCGGTCTTTCGGAAAATTTTGCAAAGATATTGGAACTTCGAAAACAGCATCTTGAAGCTGATTGGAATTCCGACATTGTGAAAAAAAATCTACCCGATACAATGAATGCGCCGAAATGGCGGCCAACCGAATAAACTGCATAGTCTTAAAAACGATTCTTAACAATCAGATCTTAAAAACGATTTTACGATGTATACTTTGAAATGACACTATAGGGCTAAAAGGGAAAATCACACGTATCTCAGAATTATACATAGAATGTGATATAATAGTTGTATGAAAATCGAAATCCACTTCATTAAGAGGATGGCGTATCAAACCCTAACCTCAAAATTTCGTAGATTCCATTATACGTAATTAATTTACAATTTTCTTGAATTGTTGGAATTTAATAATAATCTATAGATTATTCGTCATCCGGGATGACTTTAATAATCAATCCGAAGTGAATATTGGTGGAATAACAGCGATTTCAAAATTACGCAGCGTAGAGAGCCCTCCGAAATAGATCTCCGTCGATTTTGTTTTTCTCGCTCAATTTTTACTTTTTGACAAATTTGAAAGTCATCCCGGATAGTTTATGACCTTGAGAATACAGAAAGACCAATTTTTTAAATCTAAATTACAAACTGTTGATGTATAACGACTTCCTGCAAAGCTTAAATTGGTTACGCCATCCTCTTAATAAATAGATAGATGATATTGTGTACAATTAAACAAGATTATACTTTGGCATTTCAGGTGGCTCAACAACGGAGTAAGTGCTCGATTAACGATAGGATGTACACAAAAAGGCACAAAAGAAGACTCGTACAAAATAGAACTGAGAAGAATATGGAAGTAATAAAGAAATTCATCAAGAAATGTGTTGATAATAGAAATGATTATAGCAATGTAGCTGATACTCAGTCATCAACTACGCAGATACAAGAAAAAACTGATGAAGTTTACTTGATTAGCAACGAAATCATTGACCCTATCAAGAATAGTAATGAAACTCTAACTAGCAATTTTCATACGAAGATACTCGGCTGTGAAACCATTGCTGACAAATTTACAAATGATGAATGGTACGACTGTATCGACGAAGATATAATAATGAAAGACACTGAATTTGAATACCGGTATAGCGATTGTGAGGATAGCGGGTACAGCGATTGCGAATCGAGTGATGTTTGTGAGGCCGACGATCCTAGTAGTTCAGTTAATTATAAATTTAATGTCACGAATACTTTATCTGATAATAATTCAAAGAGCGAAAATATCGGTAATGTGTCTGATCAATTAAAAACTCTACTTCCTGAATGGGTCATTGACAATAATATAACACAAACAGCTATTACCATTAGATTCAAGAACTTTACTTAAAACTCCTGAACATACAGAAATTTACAAAATAAATGGAGGCGAATACTGCCATTTTGGATTATCTTCATGTTTAGAAAAAATTGCACTAGATAGAAGATTATTAAAGATTGAACAAAAAACCATAGATCTATTAATCAACGTCGACGGAGCTCCAATGGGAAAAAGTACTGCAAAAACGTTATGGCCTATGTTGTGCTCGGATAAGCTAGGAAAAAATGTTTATATTGTAGGCATCTTTAATGGATGTTCCAAACCTGAAGATTCTGATGAATTCTTGAAATTTTTTATAGAAGAAGCGAAGAATTTTGTTAATAATGGTATCACCATATTGAAAACGCATTATGATGTAATCATTGATGGCATAATTTGCGACGCCCCCGCAAAAGCCTATATATTGGGAGTGAAATGCCATTCAGGCTATTCTAGTTGCACGAAATGTGAAATTGTTGGTCAAATGAAGAAATGCGTTTGTTTTCCAGGAGGGATTTCGACTTTAAGAGAAGATGCCAAATTCAACGAGTTTGCCTATTCCGATGAAGACAAAAAAAAAATTATCAATTAAAAAAATCAAGTTTATCAAAAATACCTAAACTAGGTCTAGTATCTCAAGTCCCTTTGGACCCGATGCACTTGGTATTTTTGGGTGTCTGTCGCAAATTATTTTTGATTTGGTTGTTCGCGCGACTTTCTTGTAAACTTCCAGCATATGTAATTAATCGCATTTCTGCTGCAATGATCACATTAGCCGATTATATTCCATACGAGTTCGCCAGGAAACCACGAAGTTTCAAAGATATTAAATTCTTTAAAGCCACAGAATGGAGACAAATCTTGTTATACATTGGTATAATTGTTTTGAAAGATAATGTATCTCCTGCTATCTACAACCATTTTGTAGTTCTACACGTTGCTATAAGTATATTCAGTAATCCATTGATGTGTAAATATAATTCTTGGATCGATTATGGTGAAAAATTGCTGTGTATGTTTGTTCCTACATTTCAAAAGCTTTATGGTCGCCGTTATGTATCTCATAATGTGCATGGTTTGTATCACTTAGCTAATGACGTACGAAGATACGGAGAATTGGATACATTTTCAGCCTTCAGGTTTGAAAACTTTATTGGACGAATAAAAAATCTAATCCACAATGGGAATCGGCCCTTACAACAAATATCGCGCAGACTAACTGAAATCGAAAATCGAAAGAGTAAAGAATTTTACATGTGCAATGACAATATTCCGATTTTTAAACAACAACATCATACAGGTCCTGTAGCAGACCAACCTACAGATGTATTACAGTACAAAGTTGGGATATTCGACACATTCAAGATAAATTGTGATGATGATAAAAACAGCTACGTCTATGTCAATCATCAGCACATAGTTAAAGTTTTGAATATTGTATGCAACAACAAAGATTACTGCATCGTTGGAAAGAAATTGGATATTCTAGGGCCTGTATATACGCAGCCTCTATCTTCTAGTCAACTAGGAATTAATGTTGTACAGAAAAACGACAGCGCGTCTCCTGAATGTTGGAAAATTGATGATATTACAACCAAAGTGTTAATATTACCATACAAGCAAGTTAAAGTAGTTTTTCCGATTCTACACACACTACGCAATAAAAAGGAATAAAATTTCTTTGACTGTTACAGTGATTTGATTGTATAAAGCTGCTGCTATTTGTAAAATCATACCGCGCGACTTATAGAGAAAAACATCCGCGTTCTTGTACTTGTATTATAATTAATCTCGATGAATATGAAAAAAAATCAGTCATACATCGCTGTACTTGTATTATAATTAAATTTAAGATCTCAAAGATTGTCAATGACGGCTGTATAAATATATCGAAATATCGGATTCGTAATACATATTATAATTGAACTACTGCGTGATAAGAAAAAAAAACAAATTTGTTTTGACCGTATCTGACTGTGTTGGAATATTTTCGTACAGGAGGCGATCAAAATGTTTTATTCTTCCGTTGAACGAGTTTGAAAAAAAACTTTGTTTTCAATGTTTACGATGGTGGGTTTCAATAATATAAAATAATGAATGTGTTTTCAACAAAATTTAGCTTTTAATTGCCGTGTTTTTTCATTACAAGCTGAACAAAAAAATCTTTAGTAGTTTATTTGCGGCCGCGGATTTTTTTTCAAACTGTTCGACCAATAATCATGAAAAAAAAGTCCGATTAAAATTGAATTCTTTTTACATATAAGATGATTATAAAAATAGTTTCACTTTATAGATGACACATTCCTTCAAATTAGCTCTACATTCGTGCTTGACAAAAAAATTATTGTACTTTTTACTTGAAAAAAAAAACACACGTTCGAGAGAAACTATGTGTTTTTTTCCTATAATGGTCAATATTATTTCGTAGATATTTTGATTTTGAAACGTTTTTTTTTGTAAAAAAAGTACCACCCTGTCCGAAAAAAATATAAAATACTAAAAAAGGTGTATCTCATCTCGATGAATATGAAAAAAAAATTTGTTTCACACCGCTGCGTTGACAAAAAAAAATCGACGAACGTATATCAGACTGAATGTGATTTTTTGCGTAAGAAATCCAAGTGCATAAAGCCACTTTGCGCAATTTTAATTTTGTGTAGAGCTTAATATAATGAAAAAGCGTAACCAAAAAAAAAAGCCTAAGATTGTTGCCTTGCGAGATTAATGAAAATGTTGATATTAAGAATAAGACGATATTATCAAATTGTTCTGCTTTGTACGTATTATTAAGATTATAAGTTGTTTGTAAACTAAATAATGTAACATTTTGTTCATCGAAAAATAAAACAAGATTTTGAAAAAAAAATTCAAAATTATACTCATTACATATGCATAAACGAAAAATGATTTTTTTTATATTTTTTTCATTAATGTTTTGGTGATGTCCTGGAGCCGTTGCTGGAACATTGAGGAAATGTTGCTACAATGTTTCGCAGTTGATTCCTGTAGATCGATATGTTGCCACAATGTTTCAAGAAGGTTGCTAACAAGTTGGAACTAACATCTTCTGGAACAGGGAGATTGTTGTCAACGTGTTGTATCGTCGTTATGACAATGTTGCGTGACCGCGCTTTTGCAACATTGCAGTAACATTACTACAACAAAGCCATCGATCGCGTCAAATTTTCTCAAATATTTGTTGTGGCAACATTGTGGAAACATCGAGGCAACTTGTTGAGATAACATTTTGGCAACATTTTGGTTCAAATAAAAGCGGACATTTCAATATTGCTCCAACATTTCCGAAACCTTTTTTTTGGTTGCCGATTAAGTTGCCGTGTTTGGAAATCAATGTTGTAGCAACATTTTGGTAACAAACCTTGCTGGCTGGGTCGTACAAGATGAATTATGAATTATTGGTTGCTGTGGAAGTCATAGAGTGAAAGTCTTCGACTATGATATCTATTTAGTTTTCACTTAAGGAAATACCCGAATAAATGTAAATTGTGACACATTATGGTAATATAATTGTAAAATAATATTGTTTTTGTTGACGTAAATAATGACGTTTTTTGTCTGCCGTGAATTGCTTTCACGGGTGCTAATTGCAGTATTCCGTTAATATTTATATTGATTTATTTGTATGTTTATAAATTTTTGAAAGTTTATACCGTTCAGTGTATAAATATTAATACTTATGTTTTTTATGGCAATTCAACAATTGTATGTAATTTTTTTTTAATTTCTCTTTATCTTATTTTGTTTTTGCTAATTCAATTTGAATTTATTTATATAGTGGTTGATGCTTTCGATGACATTATTTTGAAGCTGAAATAGTTGAGGCGCCATAAAATAAACAACCTCAATGATTCTCATCGCCAATAAACCAACATTATATTTTCTTAATTGTATATTTAGATGTGCGGATAAATTATTAAAAGTAGGATGATACTAAGAGTAGTATAAAAGATGGATTAAGCATGATATAAGTTTTTCTACATTTACAAAAAAAAAAGTTTTTGTTTAGTATAATTAATAATCATTTCTTGCGCTGACAGATTGATGTTTTAGTTTGTATAGTAGATAAACAAATTCATTATACAATTTAGCATCGACTTCTATAATGCATTAATCGTGATATGCACAAAGCATAATGTATATTGATATATTTTTATTTGTTTTCGATTTTTGTAATGATTGTTAAATTTTCTGAAATTATACACAATAAATGATACTTACATGGTGAAAGAATGATTTCTTTAAACAACATGATTAATTAGATAAACAAATGTTAAAGTATTATGAATAATTATGCAGTTAGTCAATTACAATTATAAGTTATTCAATTGTTTCTTAAAGCCGTAGGCAATGTCAAAATAAGTATATAATAATAATAATATAATAATAATAATAATAATTCTATATAATAATGATTATATAGAAATTCTCTATTAATAGTTGAATATTCTAAAATAAAAAAATAAACATTTATGATATGATGAAAATTTATTCATAATAAAAAATTATAAATTCATGGAGTTACAATATAGTTTATTTATACTTAAAAATTTCATAAAAAACTTGTAAGATATCTCTTACTTTATTTTTTTTATCATGATGTATTAATTCCATCTTGGAACGGAAATTTTTCTCTCTACTTCTGAATGTGTTATAATTCTTATTTTGACGATGTTGATGATCACCTAATCAAGAAGGAAAATACAAATATGTTAATATCATGGTGCATAAATTCTCAATTACATTACAAAACATTGTTGAATTTTATTACTTACTTTTCCACGTATTTTTCGAATGAAATTTCCTTTGATTGGTATATCGATGTTGTACATTACGATAACCCTTCCATGTGCTCTTTGTATGTACATTTTTGTGATTGGTATAGCGATGTTGCACATCATGATACTTTTTGTTACTGTCTGACATTTTTCTATTAGCAGGCTTGCAGTTGTTGTTATCTACATGTAATGTATTATTAATAATTATGCACTATACTTATATACATGATATAATACATTCTCTTACCTTCTGCTCTCTTAATGGATAAGTCTCTTTGTTTGATAACGCGTGTTTCATATAAATCTTTTCTACAATAGAAAAACTGTGTATTTATAACATCTTGTCTACAATTCATGGTCCCTTCATTATCTGTTTTATTTGTCTCTTCCTTTTTATCATCTAGAAGAGCTAATACTGAGCAATTTGAAAATTCACTTAATTTTCTATGAAATGTTTATGTCGTTCAGTAATAAAATATCAAAATGATACTTACAGTTATCTTTCGTTTGTAAACATTTCATTTGTAAGTCTTTGAGGTTTAGAGCTAATTTTGAAAACGTGGTACATACAGTATCCATGGCGTTATGTTAAGAAATTAGAGCGTATATTATCCCAAAATTAACTATTATTGATGTGGGTATTAATACGAAAACGGCGAAATTGTCGTAAAGAATTCGTCAATTCTTGAATGTGGTACGATGTGTATGACGTAGAGTATTTTACTATATAAATATATCATTTTCTTGTGGTCCGGAACGACGGAACGGAATTGACGATTGAAATTAAGTTGAAGACGCCTTGCCACACGTTCATTTACCCAATGAACGTGAATTTGCCTTTATTATAACGTAATAGTGAAACGTACGATATTGATGTCCGCATTAAATTTCATGAATGATAATTTTTAATAAATTTTTAATAAATTTAAATACATAAGAAATATGTCTATATTATTTTTGAAGATCCGGTCAGCAAAAATCGAGAGCAAACAAAACAAGATATTTTGCGTTAGGATAATGAATTTTGATATATATCGCTGCCATATTCTGGAATCGTAAACATAAAATTTTTGTTCCTCGATAGCCATATACAATTCTATCTCTTTTTGGATAACCGTCAGGAAAGTAAGTTTGATAATACACAATATATTGTTTTTTAATTTTATTGCTTTCTACGTTGTTTTTTATGAATCGATATTACGCTTTGTCGTATTTTTGGTAGTATGATGAATATCGGCAATACCTATATTGTTATGTTTTTTAGATTACTATATCATACATTTTATATCCGTTTATTACTATTGGTATGCGTTTTTAGGATTTATTTGACAAAACGGTATAATATGTTTATTGCACTACAATTAATTCATGTTTGCTATTTGCCATAGAATTCAAGTTAGTTTCTTTCACAATGCCACCTTTACATAACAGAAAAAGAGAATTAGAGAATAATGATGATGATCAGAATGTTTTGAAGAAAAAGATCAAGATCACCAGATATGACAGTTTTAATAAGATTTGTGAACTTATTAACAGGTATAAATTAATTAACAGGTTTGTTTCCTCGCAAAATTGTTATATGCATTTAAAATTACGATTAAAGTAGAATAATAAATTAAAGTTGATTAAAGTTGATTAATAAATTTTGTAAATATTTCATTTCTGTTATCATAATTTTTACCACATACATTCCACAATGCAATCTTCATTAATAGATATATGTAGAAGTAAATAAAAAGGAACTTTTGAAATAAATTAACTACAAAAATAATTTTTGTCTATTACAGACTACGCTTTTGAGTACCGAGCTAGCGTCAGCAACATTTTTCTGTGCTTTAATGAGATCTCTGCCTACTTTTTTACGATACTCCGATAAATTCAATTTAACGTGGTTTTGAATAGGCAATAAAATCGTTTATTAAATATATTGTACTTATACCACCTGGTCCATTAATTTATATTCAATTTTTATTACTTTAATACTCATACTTAATCTTAGAATCATTTCCAAATAAACAGACAGAAAGTATGTTCTCTATTTACTAACGACATTATTTATCGAGCCAAGCGAGCGTTTACGAACGAGGTTTTTTAAATATAACCGTCGCTTAATCAATAGAAAAATATAAAATTGAACAGACTACAATTATGTTTTCCATTTACTGACGACTTCGTTTTGCGTACCGAGCGAGCGTTAGCAAGCGAGGTTTTTTACGCTAGTATTATATAATGAGTTATACAACTTGTATACGTAGTATTGATTAAAATAAATAATGGATATTTTTTACAATCGGTATACAATCTACTTTATAATGGTATCATACCTATGATAATAGTAGTTCGTATACAATGAATGCACGCATAAGTTTAATAGATTTTTGATGGGATGGCCGAATTTAAATGAGCGGCAGTGTACATTTGCTGACGATATAAATGACCTAAAAAACGTCAAAGTAGACAAAAATGATTTAGTACCTATAAAGAAGATATCACAAGCCGGAAAAGTGCGACACACCTCATTTATTAGTAACGAAATATTGAAAAGAAGTTGAAAAAATTATTTCGAATTTCGAACTTACACAAAAATTTTAATAACTGTCACTCATTTAGCTCGCTATGTTTCACGAGATTCGAAATGATATTTCAAAAATGAAAGGCATTTCATTCTTGTTGTTGGATTAGTAAATTTTGTCGTAATTTTTAGGGTGAGCTCGTAAGACAAGAAAAAATTTTTTCAATTTTGTTATTAATAATAATTAAGACGAGTATGATAATTTTATTCATTGAACCTCATTAATTCCTTAAATATAACATGAAAGAATACACCTTTGTCACACAAAAATAATGTAAATGCTGTTGATATAATTCTCACAAGAGTTACCAATGAATATGATCCTCCTACTTTTAAAGAATTCCGAATTCAACTAACGATAATGGAGTGGTTGTGCCATATGATGTCATAGATGATAAACAACAATCGCACTTTTCAACTGTATTAGTAATGATAAAGCAATCTAACGAGTTTCATGAGAGTTCTATGAGTATCCAGAGTTGCTTCCGATTATAGACTATAAACAAACTTTGGACAATAAAAACATGTTGTCGATTCGAAAAACTACGATTTGTTATTTCATCTTTTCAAACAAAACAAAAAGATCAAAAAAACAAAAATGCTAGTCACTTTTATCATCAAACATCATTAATATGTAACTCTTTCTCAACTCATAGTACTATCCATATATAAATTGAAATTTCAAGATTGGTAAAAATCAATATGCCGTGCTATATGATATATACGTAAATAGATAAGCAATATATGTTTCAAGCCACCTCATCGGGGGTCTAGATAACTTGAAACATACATAGGGATTTACGCATGTGCGCTTGCACGCTGTGCACGCGTGGTGAATTGTCAGAGAATGGGTGGTAATTCCTAATGACCCTCTAAAGTCTTTTACTACCCTAGTCGCGATACCCAGAGCCCCTCCTCCCAACTTATAGTAAATAATAAAATAAGAAATTTTATTATATCGACTGCCAAGGTAGATTCCTCTTATAGAGGTTGTCATACTGTAGAAGTTGGTAAGGCACTTGGTAAGTTATATGCTGGTTAGGTGTGGGCCCTGTGAGAGGGGGTAGCGTTTCCAGCTTGAGGTGCGCTGGTTAAGCTATATGTTGGTTTGGCGTCTCTCTCTAGCTTGAGATGTGTATGGAGGGGGTATGCTTGCTAGGTCTGCATCAAGCTTATATTGAAAGACAGAATTCAGTGCCTCACCCGCACTTAGCTCACGGAGTAGTCTATTTCTACGCTTACGTATTCTACGCTTCTTCATTCACCCGCCCACTCTCCTACTTTACACTTTCCTACCTCCCTTAGATATATTTATTTGTAGTAAGTAGACAATGTAATTATTAGTAATTATCTATTTTTTTTCATTTATTATTTTGATTGTATAAGTAGACAATAAAATCAATAGTATGTAGACAATGAAATTAATAGCATTTATTTAGTTCTTTTTTTAATGATACATAGAGTAGAGAACACTCTGTCGATAATCTTTATTCTCTTTAGTTAACGTTACTATTTCAAAATATACAGATGAATTCTTACAAAAAATATAATCATCTTCAAATTCATCTATTATGTCTATTTCTTGTGGTTTAGCTGGTTTTTTTCTCTTCTTAATCCAAGTATACAATTTTTGTACATTTATAGCAGCACAAATGAAATCAGTATCTTTATTACAATGAAATACGCATGACGTCTTTAATAGATTTGATAATTCTGCTAACGGAGGACGTCTTATATCACTTTCAAGATCTAAAAATTTTCTGTAAATAAAAATGTTATGAAGAATTATATACATAGACTAAATATTTAAACACACATTACTAAAACTCACTTTTCAGGCAGTATACTTTGAAGCCATAGTTCTTTCTCTTTCCCTTTCGTATTGTAACGAGGGAGATAAATCTGAAAATGGGAAAGAGCCCAGCCGGGTAAGCATGTGAAAAGTGCCCTTAGACCTTTCGAAAAAGTGACAAAGCCCAATGTTCCGGCTTATAATGAAACCCCCTCTGCCAAATTTTCAGACCCATATTGACCCATGGGGCAAAATGGGACACTATTTTGTGGTTTTAGGTTTTTTGACAATAGCTCGGTTGGTTGTGAAGATACCTAAAAACTGTAAATACAAAAGTTGTAGGGTTTTTGAAGAGCTACAAATCTATAAACACCAAATTTTTTTAGCGCGAAATTCAAATTTTTAAAAGCATTCGAAAATTCCAATTTAACGCCAATTTTGTCCATTCATACCTGCAACTCCGAAAAAAATCTTGAATATTTCTCATAGATAGGAGTACATGTGTGAATTTTTTCAGATTTTTATAGGTGGCAGAAGGTACCTAAAAAAAATAAAAACCACTAAAAACGAATAAAAAATCCAGTTTTTCGATTCTAGCTCTTTTTGGTTTCATTCCACGATAAAATCAATAGCGCCATCATATTCTACGTTAAAAAATACGTCGAAAACATGCATAACACTTTTATCATCAGACCCATTACACCCTAAGAAATCGACGACTAAACTCCCAATCTTAGCCTGCCCACATGTAATACATGGAAAATCGAAGGTCGCACGTTTCATTGTCGATTTTTCATTACGCGGTAGAGCTAACGATGAAAGTATGATACATGTTTTCGACGTATTTTTTAACGTAAACACAATGGTGTAACTGGTTTTATGGTAGGCCTAATCCCGAAAACGATAAAAGCGAAAAACTAGTGGAAAGCAGCTGCTTTCCAGTAGTTTTTCGATATTTTTTTGACTATAGCACTTTTCAATTACATTCTACGATAAAACCAATCGCGCCATCGGGTTCTACGTTCAAAAATACATTAGAAACATACATCATACCTTTATTATTAGTATCATTATACGACGAGAAATCGACTATTAATCTCTGAAACTCCGTTGAAAGGCTGAACCCAATATTATTATTATTCCTGGCTAGATGCATGACTTATGTTTACTACTCGTACCTTCATAATGATAAAAAAATATTATTTCCCTGTTCACGACGAAGTGCTAAATATTTTAGGATGTTCTTTGTGAAAAAAATCTGTAGGATTTTTCATCAAATTTTTGCACTATTTGGTACTGCGGCACTGTTGAATAAACCACGTAGTTTCAAAATCCT